ATAAATAACGCTTTCTCACTTAGATATTTCTTTGACGAGCAGTGAATGAACCTATGAGAAATCCTGAGCTGCCTGCGGGAATTGTCTAAGTTTAAGAGATAATGAAAATCTCTGAGTTCTTGAAATCTATTGATAAAACTGATAATAAATAAGCATTCCCGGCTCCAGAACAAGTTGGGGTTCTTTACCAAATTCATTCTTTCTTAACGTGTTTAAACTGTCAAATTCCAAGTAACTTCTACCGTAGTCTCAGTCCTGGAATTGGATCCACAGGGCAATCACAATATGTATCTGGAAGCACAAACGGCCACGCCCTAAATGATCCACAGAGCAACATGACAAAGTTGAAGGTGGACTTTCACTTCCAAACTTTAAATTATATCACTGGGCTTTTGTACTGCGTCTTCTCGGTGTGGTCTGGCAATCTTTAATGAGGCAAAGGGAAATTCCTAAGATTGACAAAGGTATCATTTCACACTCAAGCTAGAAAATGGACAGTTCTCTTTGGTCCCATTTGGCTCCGGTTTGGGTCTGGTTCTTGTCTGGTTCTAGTCCGGGTCTGTCCCATTGCTTTGCAGATCCCGACTTGCAGAACTCGAGCAAAGTTTTGAGTAAATAATTTCTTTCCGTTTGTTAAACAGTGTTACTTGAGAATGGAAAAATCACAACAAGTGTGCAAGCAAATAGAATTATGTTAATACGGGCTCACCCAGTCCGTTATACACAACCCCTACGCTGGAAACGCAATCAATCTAAGAAAGAAAAAAGTAACATATTGTATTGTCTCATTTCATTAACTTCCCTCTATTCCCAGAAGTGATTATGACGTGAAATTAGCAAACAACTTTTCATCTCTCGAAGACTTCTTTTTTTTCGTGGGTCTGCATACTGTAGTTCCAACTTTTCCCCCTTTAAAGTAAACTGAATATCAAATTGCATGTTTGTATGTGACTTTTTTATTGTTGTTGCCATCACTGAGAGAAATCTAAGAACTTACACTTTAAAAAAAAATAACATAAAAAAAGTGAACTCTGTGAAAGCATGTTGGCTCCAGTTCATTAAGGTTAAGGTTAGACTTGGGCATATCCCAGAACACACCGCTCGTTCCATGACACCTGCAATTTGGTTTGGGGAACACTGGGACCGGCGTAATGTATTGTAACCTTATGCTAACCTAATGAACACGGGGATGAAAGTGCTTTAATGGGGCTACTTTTACATTCATCTTTAGCCTCCTCATTATGCAGCCGTATGACAAGCTCGTTAGGAGAGCACGAAAGATTACCCTGGCTGGTAAAGAGCACCACCTTCAAACCCAACCGCTACAAAACGGATTCGCGTTTAGGCAGGTACAGTACGAGTCTGGGCCCAGGTCTGGATTTTTCTTGACAATTGGACGCGATATGAAGACCTCTGTGCGGTGGGAGTTTTATAGGTTTGGGTGAGGTGCTGAGGAAGACATTTGCTTTCTGTGTAAATGCAAATGCGGAGAGAATTGTGTTGACTTTATTGATATGCCTATACAATTGTACTTTTATCTTTCCGCGATGCATGTTGTTATACAGAAATATGGTTGTTACTTAATGTATAGGTCAAAGGGATATAAAAGAGGACATGACACTAAACAAGATACAGACAACGAAAAAAGAAAATAAACCATACACACACACAAGGACACATGGTGGAGGGACCATTGATGGCTGTCACATCAGCTTTGAGTTTGACTGTATTCATTTATCCAGGCATGGAAGCAGTGGCAGCCAGAGCGATTATAGGGGACCCCGAGCAAAATTTGGGCGCAACAATTGATTATTTAAATTTTACAATAATATGAATCTGCTTTAATCAATGTAATGGTTTGTTGCTTGTTCATGTATTTCAAACCTGCAGGTGTATACAAACATGACAACAAAAATACAGGTCCGCTTGGTTTGAAATTTTTAGTGACTAAAAATGGAAAATAATTTTCTATCTCTACAACCATAGAGAGAAAAATCCTGCACACCGTCTTACTTGCAAATTAAAAATTATTTATTTAAATTGCAACGTTTCGGCGTTATGACTTCATCAAGCAAACATGAAAAGAGCACCAGGAAGTCCTCTTAAATAGGGTGGGGCAGGCACCCAAGGGTGTACAGTCAGCACACCCACAGAGCAATGCACAAAAAACACATGAACCACTAGGTGTCTATCTCTACTACCAACTATCTATTGACCACTGTCTTTTGGTTCATTGTACAATTGACAGTTGCGTAAAGTAGGACGCCAATTTCCAATATTTATGCAAGTGTTCAGGGGGCTATTTTGGCTTTGGGGCCCGGAGTCACTGCTTAGTCTGCTTATTGACAGTGCCGCCCCTGCACGGGATCAGCACAAAGATTACACTGGTATGAGACGATATGCTGCTGTTTAGACAAAATCTACTTTTTTATTTTTTTTATGGCATGTTTAAAAAATATTATAGTGATTGCAGGAGCTTGCGTTCTTCAGCTCTGCACGATGTAAGCAATTGTAGTAAGATGAATCAATTAAAACAGTTGTCGGCCTGTGAAGTGTCAGCAGATCTGTGGCGCAGTCATCATTTGTTCTCATTAGTGTTTCTTAGAAGGAGGTGGAAAAAAAATCAGCGGTGCTTCAGGAAATCAGGCAATTTGTAATCGCAAATAAGGATAGTCGACCTAACAACGCACCGTGGTTTGTAAAGAATAGAAAGTGTCTATTTGTGACCATTTGCTCTTGCAATGAAAAGGCATTTTGCACATTAGTCTGAGGAGAGCCAGGCACGAGCAACTTCAGCTCAACACTGCACTCCAGTGGACACACTCTGTAACTACAACTATGCATTTGCCATTCATTAAAAATAACATATACTGTAGAAGTCAAACAATGTTGAAAAGAAATAAAAAATATTGTGTTAAGGATGAAGCTTTAGGTTCGTTTTAGTGTGTTTTTGTTTGACTTTTATATGACTTGCTCTTTACCACTTAATGTTAAATGGTTTATAGATGGAATGGGAATTAATATACATAACTCCTTGTAACTTGGTTTGATTCGATCACACATGAGGTTATAACAAATCTTTTTCTATTCATCATTAAAAAAAATAGAATAAATAAATTGAATAAAATCCCTTTATTGTCTGTTTATATTGATAAAACTTATGTGTCTTTGATTTGCAATTACACACACTTTTCAGGACATGCAGACAGATTCTGACAAAAAAGTAAATACTTAAGTTTTGAGTTAGCAAACAATTGACGATCAAGGTCAAAATTCAAACAAATACATATTTTCACAATATCTACTTGACAACAAAGTGCAAACCCCCTATTTGGGCAAAGCAAGTGTATTTGAGTGAAGATGGAATCCTTCAGTTAAATCCACAGCTACAGATCTGTTTTCATCTGGTTTTGAATTTTGTTAGAGTAGAAGCCTGTCTCACATTTCAGAAAGTTTCAAGTTTAGCTGCATAAATCTGAAATGCTGCTTCTCCTGAAATCTCAGCCATTCGCCTTTTAGTCCTTCAGCACTAATGGACAAATAGAAACTGATTCTGGAACCAATACGTTTCAGGAAGTGTAATCGACCATTCAACATCCCATGAGAGTTTTGGAACTTCCAAAAATCAAGAGTAGATAACTAGTTATCCACCATCAGCACAGTGAACACAATGAAAAAAAGAAAGGTTTTTAATAAATAAACATGTTTTACATCTTTTTAAGAATTATTGTTCAAAATCCCTGAACATTATATGTACATTGGGACTATTACTTCTCAGACGAGGTATACCTAATCTTCATTCAACTCAACTCAACTCAACTCAAAATAGTTACTCGCTCTCAAAAACGTTTTGGCACTTTTGATGCATGTTTGGCCTCTGTCACATTTATAGATCAACTTTTTCAGAGAGAAAAGTGGAAAAGAGGACCACCCTCACTCAGCCTCAATCAGTTCTCAGCCAAAAGAGTCAAAATATGACTCACAAGGCTCTTTCCCACATGCGAAAGATCATCAAACACAAGGAAAAAATGAATAGTTGTGGTCTGATTTGTTTGGATACTCCAGCTTTAAAATATGCAAAATTTAAAATATTCGATTTAAAATATCAAATATTTTAAATCCAGGTTTAAATACAAGTTATTAGATAACAATTGCATTACACATTTGTATTCCATATACAGTTTATAAGAAGGCTTTGGGCTTGTCTCTAATCTAAATCTAAAACATCTATGGTGCGCTCCCAACCTGCTTTGCTCTCCATCCCCTGTTTTTTTACGGCCATCTACAATCCCACTTTACGATTGGCGCAGAGATATGGGAAGTGCAATGACGCTGCCCAATCACATCACAGCTTTATCCCAGTCCGGAGTGGCCTGTTATCATTCAAGGAGCAGGTGAAATCGGTGGGTATTTCCTATGATTTTGTAAAATATTGATGCAAAAGTGCGCGTAAACTATACTGTGATTGAGATTATGTTTTTTTGTTGGAAAAGCGTGCTTTGTAGTTTGCTTCATAAGTAATGCATACTTAGCAGATCAAGGGGTGCTCTATTAAGTAAACAGGCAGACAACCCCAGTAAACAACCGAAGCGAGCCCAGACGTGGCCTACATGGGGAGACTGCAGACTGAGCGCGCTGGTCTGGTCCAGTCTGGTCCCTCCTCCAAATGGCACAGCAGGCGGATAAGAGGATTGTGCACGACGCGTTTCTTAATCATTTCAATCACTTGGCGTTAAACCGTATAGACCAGATGTACGTCGCGTAATAAGACCCCCCATCCTCACAATGTACCACCCATATAGTCCGTAATCAGCCTCCAGGCGCACGGACATTATGGACCTCCGTGCGTAATGGTGTTGTTCGCGGCATCTTTGCTTCATGACGCGCCACAGATTTGTCTTGTTATTTTTGAGGTGACAAAACGAGCACAAGATGGCGCTGTGACCCAGTTATTTTTGCGTCTCGTTCATCAACAGGTGTCCAAACCGTGAGGCAAGAGCATGGACATGTATGCAGTGCCCAGTACGGGGATCCTGGGCTGTCCGCCGGGGCTGGAGTACCTCACCACGGTAAGTGTGGAGCCGCAGTGTCAGAGCTGATCCAGATGATCCAGAGATTTTGTTACATGCAACGTTGTACTGACTAAAATGATTTCAGTGACCTGTTTACTACTTCTACTACTACTGCTACTGCTACTACCACCTACAACTCCTCCTCCTCTTACTACTACTACAACTTCTAATACTATTGCTATACTATTATTACTACTATTACTACCACCATTTACTACTACTGCCACCTACTACCACTACTACTAGTACTGCTACTATTACCACCACTATACTACTACTACTACTACTACAACTACTACTACTTCTACTACTAGTACTGCTACTATTACCACCACTATACTACTACTACTACTACAACTACTACTACTTCTACTACTAAGCAGTAAGTAAGTAAGTACTTGCTATCTTACTAGTACTACTACTAGCAACTACTAATGGTTTCAAGTGGTCAGGGCAAACCGTAGCGGAATAAATACTTATGATTGTGATAACCCTATGATAATATTTACTTACTATACCTTTAAAAAATGTAATACTATTTTATGTCATTAATCAGCATGTCTCAACTGGAGAACCAAATAAAAACAACTATGTAGAAGCAAATACTGTAAAACCATAAATAAGCAAACGTCCTCTGAGACATGTCTGTCAATTACACAGTGCAACTTTCATCTTTTGTATATTATTTACCTCCTCTTTGTCGTTTGTGGTTGTTTCCAGGTGGACCAGCTTCTGATTAAACAGAAAGTGGAAGCAGTTGAAGGTACACTGCCTTGTACTTTGTGTGTAGAAATAGTGTGTAATTAACATAGTAACCTTGTGTATCTCCTGTTGCAGCGCTGGTGGGCTTCGAGAGCAATAATAAGTATGAAGTGCGTAACTCCATGGGTCAGAATGTGTTCTATGCGGTGGAGGAGAACGACTGCCTGAGCCGACAGTGCTGTGGGCCCATGCGCTCCTTCACCATCCACGTCCTGGACAACTACGGCCAAGAGATCATCACTGTGGTGAGGCCGCTCCGGTGCATGTCCTGCTTCTTCCCCTGCTGTCTGCAAGAGGTCAGTCTGACGTCCAGCAGTGGAGCTTGTCTGCATTATGTGCATTGTGTACATGCAGCAAGGCAAAAAAGTATTTAGTCTTCTCGTTTAAAAATATGAGAGATGCCTGCAAAAAAGGTATACCTCTAAGTCTAAGCTATGAGAGACCAAATAAGAAAAAAGAATCCAGAAAATCACATCGGTTTGATTTTTGAAAAAATTATTTTGCTATTTATGGTTGGAAAATAGGTATTTAGTCACCTACAAACAAGCAAAGATTTCTGGCTCTCACAGACCTATAACTTGGGCGGCAGTAGCTCAGTTGGTAGAGCGTTGGCCTTTGAGCCAGAAGGTCGTGGGTTCAAGCCCCGCTCAAGACTTTCACCATCGACTCCCACTGACTACTGTCGTTGTGTCCTTGGCAAGACACTTAACCTCTGGGAACACCAGCCACAGTGGGGCGGCTGCGGCTGTAAAGTGCCAAACTGCCGTTGTGTCCTTAGGCAAGACACTTCACCCCCATTGCCTAGAATGAGTCTGGTGTGTGTGTGAATGGTTGGTGGTGGTCGGAGGGGCCGATGGCACATACTGGTTGCCTCGCTTCTGTCAGTGTGCCCCAGGGCAGCTGTGGCTACATTAGTAGTTTATCACCACCGTGTATGGAGTGAATGAATAATGACACATGTGAAGCGTCTTTGAGTGTCCAAAAAAGCGCTATATAAAACCGATGCATTATTATTATTATTATAACTTCTTCTTCAAGACACTCCTCGGCACATGTTTGAACTCACAACCTCAAACACTCACACTCCAAACTCCACAACATGTCAACGGACACCAGTGACAAAGTTGTAGACCTGCACCAGGCTGGGAAGACTGAATCTGCAATATGTAAGCATTTACGAGTAAAGAAATCAATGTTATATTCTGGATTTTTTTTCTCACAGTTGAAGTAAACCTAAAATTACATGTTGCATCTTGTTAAGTGGGAGAACAATTGCACAGTCTGTGGCTTACCAAATAATTTTTGCCTCACTGTCTATAACAAGGCTTCAGACTCCTCAGCACTGGTTTTCTGCACAGATAGAGGTGCAGGCGCCTCCTGGGAACACTGTGGGGTATGTCACACAGCAGTGGCATCCAATCTCTCCCAAATTCACAGTTGAGAATGAACTTAAAGAGCCTGTGCTGAAAATCAACGGGCCCTTCTGTGGATGGAGCTGCCTTCCAGATGTGGATTTTGAGGTGAGTTTATCCAAGCACACAAAGCACCTCCAACCTGGGGCCATAACTGGAGCCGCGGAGGCGAGTGTGCCGCTCCATAGCAGCAAAGATGTTTCCAATCATGAGGCTCGGACACGGGCTCACAGGGCACGCCGGAGAGTGGACACTGGGCCCATTGTTTCACGGCTCAGCTGCTTTTATTAGATTGAGCTGCGAGCGAGATGTGGGTCAGTGATACAGACCTTTTCCCAGACTTAGAGAGCAGTAGATTTCTGTGTTGCTTTGAAGCTGTTGACACATGTATACAGTAAACTACATGTCTAGATGTTTGCACAGTAACACAATATTATTAGTACAAAAATGTTCTACAAAACAATATTAGTGTTGGCCAGTGTTGGGAACCCCTTTTCTGCTGCATACTTCAGTTAACTGCAGTAAGATCTTTGTTTTTTCTCTCCAGATCATAACAATGGATGACATTAGTAAAATTGGAAAGATCAGCAAACAGTGGTCAGGACTTCTTCGAGAAGCGTTTACAGATGCAGACAACTTTGGTATTCAGTTTCCCATGGACCTCGACGTCAGGATGAAAGCTGTGATGATCGGTGCCTGTTTTCTTATCGTAAGTAATAATACATTGCTCTTACTTAATATTCAGTCGATAGATCACGCTATCACATTTGTTTTTAAAGCGGGACCTTTCTCCACCTCTTGCGACTGCCTCAGTTGGCTAAGATACTAATAATACATTATGCAGTTGTAGTAGTAGTAGTAGTAGTGTGTTTGAGCAGTTTTATAATGTATTTTTACAAGGGCTGTCAAAATTATCGCGTTAACTCACGTTAATGAAATTTTTCATTAACGCGTAAAAAAAAAATTAACACATGTCTGAATGACCCGCCCATTTATCCATAATATCACTTAGAATGCTGCGTGTGAGATGCATCAGAGCAGGTAGGCCCTCTGGGAATTCAAGTTTTAAGAGAATACGTGCGTGACCGCGGGGCTGCTGTTTGCTGTGAACTGAAGTCCGCCTCCTCCGCAGCCGCTCTGGCTGTGAGCCGCTAACAACAACACGGCTGTGAGCCGCTAACAACAACACGGCTGTGAGCGAATGGCGCTGCGGTAACATGGTCATATAAGACCAAACACGCCACAGAACTCTTGTCTGCATGTTGTGTGTGTGTCTTTGCAACCTGTGCGTAACCTCTGCACGCAAATACACCGCGGAAGTGTCCGTGTCTCCTCCTGAAACTAAACTAAACTGAAACGCTGAATTAAAGCTGGGGTACGTAAATTTTCCCCTTTCATTAACAGCTCATTTTGGTTGTGCCCAAAAGCAAAAGGTTGTGAGCAAATCTAACAGATTTAGGTACATTTGGTATGAATGACAATGTTTCATTATATTTGATAATCTCATTTAACTTCATTTGGAGTGGATTTGAAATAGAATGTTAAAAATGTGATTAATCATGAGTTAACTCACCATTTCTGTGCGATTAATCAACTAAAACATTTTAATCGTTTGACAGCCCTAGTTTTTACAGGTACAAGGAGGTAAAAGGAGAAGGCAGAAGCAGAAAACCTTTATGTGCCTTTATTATCAATACTACATTTAAGCAACTGCAAAAAGATACAGATTTTCATATGACATTGATGATTTTTACCATCATCATCCTCATCTATAAAAAAATAGCAACATTTTTAAATTTGTGTTCATATTTTACTGCAATAATGATAATAACAAAAATATATGTTTTGCCTACGCACAGAGGGGGTACATTAAAGGTATATAGGCGGATTTTCTACTTCGGGGTGGATCTTCAAAACTTTTAATCATTCTGGTGATATGTGCTCGTCAAACCAGACCAGAGAGCTTTTTTCAAAAAGTGGAGAGGACGGCTTTCTCCTAAAATTTGGGGAAATCGTCCTATATACCTTTAACTCAGCACTCTCTCTATGCTGACCTATAAACATCCCGTTTTTCTCCTTTCAGGATTTTATGTTCTTTGAGTCGAGCAACTGAAGAGCCATCGTGGAATTCAATGAAAATTACCCAAAAGAAGGCCTCAAAGCCATTATAATAATCATTCCTCTCTGTCCAATCATAGCGTACTCTACAGTCCAGTAGTATTTAGGGAGTAGTTCCAGTGATGCATGAGTTGGAGATCAGTCAAACCTGTCGCTGGACTTGAGGTCGGGACCAGTCTGCAGATTGTGTTGTTTACAAATGGCTCTTGGGCCTTAGCTATTAATGCTTACACTTGAATAGTACACATAGTATTATAGGGAGACACTTGTTTGGGAGCTGGCCTTGAGTGCAGATAGGTTTAAGGTTTTTGTGTTGAAATTATGACACAGGTAATGTAGAAGTAGTCGATTTTAGTCCTAATATGTGCACTACATGTGACGTGAGCTATGAATGTATTGTGTGTATTTCCAATGCCATACGAACATGTTGCCATTGACAACACTGACGAGTTTGTATTTGCAATAGGCTAGTGACTCGTGTGGTGTGTAATTCTCATTGAGTCCTCTAGAGGGAGCTAGCTTCTCATCCAACCAACCTCAGCCTCAATGACCTGGCTCCTCATTTCCAGATGCCATAGGTTTTTATTCAGATGTTGTATATTTTTTGGAATAACTCAGGTTGAAATGCATGCTACTGTAGTCCTACTGTAGTGCTAATGTTGGCTATGACAATTAACACATAGGATAAACAAGATGGTATATATAAGAATACTTTTGTACACTTTTACAATTAGTTTCATTAGTAAATCATCTATTGACATTTATATTATAGCGCATTGTCGTCTGCAGTGTGTTGCAGCTTGCTCCAGGTTTCACTCACACATAAAGGATGTAGCCGATACATTCATTGTCCATCTTTAAGTCTCGGAGCGGAGCGAATAGAATTAAAACTATTTACTTTGGGATTTTTTTTATTTGCGCAAATGCACTGCCAGTGAAGTATTCTATTATTGCTTTATGTGTTTACGTTCTTTAGTGGACTCGTGTGGATAGAACAGACTGTTTTTCTCATAAGAGCAGCTGATTTTACAAGTGTGATTCAAGATTTGTGTTTTTATGTGTGTTTTAAGGTGGATATGAACATGCTAACTTTATTACTTTGAGTTTAGATGTACTTTAGCCATGTCTGTGGTGTTATTGTAAAGTGACACTCAGAATGACCAGCAATATTCAAAGGGAAAGACTGGTGTATCGAGGGTTATGCTGGAACTCTGATTTTATGGAAAAAAGCCAAAATTGGACAAATTAAAAGGGATATTTATCTACGACATTGTTCACCTTTTCTCATTGTGTTACTTCTTTTAAATAGATTCAAATTCCTATTCTTCTACTTTTGCACTAAAACTGTGAATGAGTTATTTAGTCGTGCGATGGATGTGTCAAATGTTAAAACTCAATAAAAAAAAAAAATCAGACTCGTTTTTGTTCCCTATTTCTTTGTGTTTTCGTATGTTTCATAGTATTTTTATAATATCTCTGCTATTAAAACGCTTTGACTAACTATAACAATTTTACTCTATACAAATATTTGAGATAGACTTGTTCAACGCCAGAAGAGAAGGTCCTGATTCAACTCCCATGCTCCCGGGAGACACAGGAGAGAGGTTTGTATATTCATAGGTTTCCTCCTGGTGCTTCGGTTTCCCAAACCACTGAAAACATGTACAATAGATCAAGGTGAATGAGTTTGTGGGACAGATTGTGGCCTGTTTCTTTACAAGAGAATAATGTCTCACAGTGAAAATGACTGGCCTCATTATGTAAAATACAGCAGGCTTTCAGCGAGGTAATATGAAATAATCAAAAAGTTATGTTTTGCAAAGGAGTAATTAACCTGAACACGCTCGCCTTGGCTCTGAGCTTAAGAGCCCGGAAAATCCCGCTGTTAATAATGGAAATCACTGGACAGTGAAGTGCAACATTGGAATAAAATGTTTCTAAATTCAGAAGTCTGCCATAGTGTCAGAGGGAACTGGCAAAGTGCATACAGCAAGAACAGAGCTCAGGTTAATGTTTGTAAAAGATTTAAAATGCAAAAACATATTCACTGTTCTGAGCTTTATTAGTCATGGGCTGTGGCAAAAATGAAATATACAAAAAATCACAATCTCAACTTAGTAGTAGCAGCAGCATCAGTAGTAGTAGCAGTAGCAGTTGTAAGTACCTGATCCTAGTCGGAACATGGCCTTTTTGAGTGGACCTGGAGGATACCCGTCTACAAAGGTTTCCTCCAGGTGCTCCAGTTTCCCCTACCACTATAAACTTGTAGGGTGAATGAGTGTGTGTTTGTGAGTGTGGCTGTGGTACAACTAATGCAAATATAGCCTTCAATCTGGAGGGTAAATTTCACTGCCGAGAGTAGTTAGTAGTAGCAGTAGTATAAGTAGTAGTAGTAACAGTAGTATAAGTAGTATCGGTAGTGATTATAGGAGTTAGTAGTAGTAGCTTTTATTTACTGTATATATTAATTTATATAAGAGACATAGAGACACATTGTATGCAAGTATGTAAGTACAGTAGAAGTTATTATGTTAGGATTTAGGCAGACAGAGACGGATCGTGGTGTGCCAAACTCTGGAAGTTTACTTAAGTTTCTCTCAAGTTCCACTGGTTTACTCTGTTTCTTTCCCTCAGACAGAATAAAGGCAGTACACAGTTTATATAGTCATTGTCACGTCACACATCGAAAGACATACGTGTCACAAAGAGACAGTCACATCATAGTCATAACATGGAGTCCTTGTACAGTCCTGCACGTAGGCCATATTGCTATCTAATACTAACACCCTCCCCTTTGATCACATAATCACATGTGATCACTCAAATCGATCAATCAATAAAGTGGAAAAAGAAAAAAAAAACATTCTAAAAAAAAAAACTTAAAAAAATTATTAAAAACAAAGAAAATGTATGCATTAAACTCATAATCATCCAATCAATATCAGTGGATTTTATCCTCTATCCTGGGAAAAAATAAACAAACAAAAATGAAGTAAATAAACAAACAAAAACAAACAAACAAACAAATAAAAACAAATCAAATATAAAAACAAACAAACACTATTGGACACACAAGAACTCAGCAGATTCAGTCAAAACACAGACAAAAACGAGCTGAGTCTCAAATTTGAAGCTAATTTCACTTTTATTACTCTATACTTTTATTCTAATGCTAATTGTTTACACTACACTTCACTTATTTCACTGTATTATTTTCACTTTTCAATCTTAGACTGTGTACTTTACTTTTACTATTCACTATAGTTTAAACTATTCTAATCTATTTACAAATATGTTTGCATATTTGCTTCTATTGAGCCATATTCTTAAACATACATTTTAATCTAACAAATCTCTCTGTGGTATTATACTTTCATTATCAGTGGCTTATTATTAGTGGGATTTTGCTCTAGGTCTATTCTACATTTTCAGGAATAAAACTGTGAACACAGTAAGGCAAATGGTCAACATTTACACTTCTATAGTGGTCAGTGATTTATTACTTTTTATTATCTAAAGATATTATTGTCAGGCATTTGGGATGGATGTACATCATTAATCAAATTAGCATTATCCTAATAGTAGCTAATTAGGTTTGGGGTTGGGGTCAGTTATTCTACAATGGCGTTTGATTGTCTATTTTTGAAAGCATCGATGGTTGATGCATTTATCTATTCCTATTTTTACTCTATTTTTTAACTCAAAAGCTCGGCTGCAGCTTGAGCAAAGGCATATTTCTAATTTGTGACTTCTGTCACTTTTAATGGCTGTAACATAACTCTGATTCTAATATTATAGCTGATCTATCAAAAGGATAACATTGTAGGGTACTATTTTAACTCTTACGTGGAAATGTGTTTATGAAAAACAAAGGAAGTCAAATTCTACTCTTTCTACTACTACTAAAAACGCTACAATACTAATACTTTATCATTTTAAAACATTTTAACTGTTGCTCAGTCTCCCAGACTAAAAAAGTCAAATTTTTTGTCTGTCAGATGTCTGAATACTTAACATGTATATTGCATTTGTCACAGTTTCTGGTTGTAGCAATAGCATCGGCAATAGACGTTTTCATTGGCTGGTTCTTGTTCTGCAAATGTCTGTGTCCAATAGATCATCAGATGTCCAGAAGCTAGGGACAAACAAAAACAAAAGAAAGAATCATGAGTATCTCTCTCATTTAGCACTCATCAATGTATGATTTCAAAAATATAAACATCACTCCCCAGTTTTTCTCTCTCAGGTCCTCAGATCCTCAGGTCCTCAGGGTCCTCAGATCCTCAGGTCCTCAGGGTCCCCTGAGGGTGAGTCTCAGTCGTCATCAGGTCAGGTCATATAGAGATGTCATCTTGGACATCAGTAGGGTCCAAGCCATGGTTTTGGTCTCTCCAGATGCACATCAGGATCTCCAGATACAGTCTTTTCAGTTGAAGCACATCAGGTCATTTGCGATGCACTTCTGGTCAATGGTGCAGTGTCTCAGTTCCTGTACACAGCTTGTTATGCAATAGTTACTTTCTATGGTTAAGTCAATTTGATTCTACTTTAACACAATTTCTATTCATGCTGTTGCTTCTGTCCCTCAGACAAAAGCAAGCGCAATGATTCAGTTTACTTCTCTAATTCGGGTTTGGGTTTTTATCAGATGTAATCAATGTAATTACTTCACACAGTACAAAATCAAAACATCAAAAGTGTCAGGACAGAGGTCAATTAAGTCCATGACAATATAGAATTCAAATGAACATTTCTGGTCTCAAAAAATACAGATTCAACTAAAGATTCAAGTGATAGACAATTAAAAATATGTGTTTACATTGGAGTAAACTTTTAAAATGCTTTTTTCTCATGTTCTGCTTTTTCATGTATCTATATGTAAATGTGAATGTGTGAGTGTATGTGTGTGTATGTAAATTTTGGGGTTGTTTCTCCAGACTCCTCGAACCACCCGTAGGTGTCAAAGGTCACACTGTGGTGATGCAAACCAACTGG